TGGGCAAATATTGCAAAGTCTAGATGTGCAAAGTTAGTAGAGACATATCCCAACAGACTAAAGGCTGTAATTAAAGCAAAAGGTGGTTCAACAAAATACTGACACAAGGGGGTGATCCTTTTTCCAACTCAGTGATTCTGTATTTTTATTTTATTTATTTATTTTTCTGACATGTTGGTGTTATATCTTTCACTTGGGTGTAATAAGTTGCACTGAGTAAATACAGCTGGATAAAACAAAAACTGTGTCCATCTTCATTTCAGGCAGCAAAGCAAGAAAATTAGATTTTTTTCTATACCCACTGTATGCGAGTACAAGGTATTGCACAAAAACAAAAAATGCCCTATGTGGTTCAGTTTTTCCTTGAGTTTGCAGACTGTCTTTGGTCTTGTGGCAGTCATGTTCTACATTCATATTGTTCTTTTTATTTTTCTGACATGTTGGTGTTATATCTTTCACTTGGGTGTTATAAGTTGCACTGAGTAAATACAGCTGAATAAAACAAAAACTGTGTCCGTCTTCATTTCAGGCTGCAAAGCAAGAAAAATTGATTTTTTTTTAAAGGAGGGTGATTCTTTTCTATACCCACTGTATGCGAGTACAAGGTCTTGCACAAAAACAAAACAAAAACAAAAAATGCCCTATGTGGTTCAGTTTTTCCTTGAGTTTGCAGACTGTCTTTGGTCTTGTGGCAGTCATGTTCTACATTCATATTGTTCTCATTTATAACCCAGACCTGAGTGGCAGGAGGAATGTGTCAGGGTCTGGAGTTCTCATTCCTGACTGCTGATTGCCTGTTTCCATTACACAAAGCTGAGGGGTTAGAGAATAGCCCCTGGGGTGTGCGTGACAATGAATGACGTTATCAGGACTCATGCCAAATGTGACCCTGGACCACAAAACCAGTCTTAAGTCACTTGGGTATATTTTTAGCAATAGCCAAAAAAACATTGTATGGGTCAAAATTATCGATTTTTCTTTTATGCCAAAAACATTAGGATATTAAGTAAAGACAATGAAGATATGTTGTAAATTTCCTATCGTAAATAAATCAAAACTTAATTTTTAATTAGTAATATGCATTGCTAAGGACTTCATTTGGACAACTTTAAAGGCGATTTTCGCAGTATTTAGATTTTTTTACACCCTCAGATTCCAGATTTTCAAATAGTTGTATCTGGACCAAATATTGTCCTATCCTAACAACCCATACATCAATGGAAAGCTTATTTATTCAGCTTTCAGAAGATGTATAAATCTCAATTTAAAAAAATTGACTCTTATGACTGGTTTTGTGGTCCAGGGTCACAAATCTTAAGAGTAATGACTGTCATACAAACATGATGACATCAAAACAGTGTGAATGTACCCACGAGTGCACACATTTTCCAAAATGGAAACACATGTGGATAAGGGGGTCCACATGTGTGTCCATATCATAAAAATTTTTTGAGTTATTTTTATTGAGTGGGGAGCAAGTGATGTAATGCTAAAACATTTTCATAAACGTCTTTTAAAGAACCTTTAAGAGAATGATGGAATATCAATGGTGATCTGTTTAGCTGTTTGAGATTTTCTGAAGTCCCCAGTTTGCCTGCTGTAATTAGTTATTACTCTTAGATTCATATCACGGCACCATCTGCTCTGGGAGAGACATGCTGTCAGAGAGAGAGGGAAAAAGCGAGCATGTCTGTTAGCAGCACTTATGTAACACAGTGATGCTGCTTTTAAATGATGTTGTACTCAGATTATCAAAAGATCATGTTCTTATAGCCACTATGAGTTTATTCCCGCTTTGTGCTCCTGTATCATGGATAGGATGTCAATATATTTTGGGAACATGGTAAGTGTTGTTCATTTTGTCTTATTTTTAGTGTCTTGAATGCAAAAGAACAGGAATAACAACCAGCAACAAGTCCAGGAACATCCTAATGCCAGAGCAGTGCAGCCAGATTCCGTCGTCAAGGCAACACGATCGATGTTTCCTCTGTAAACATCTCTCTGACATTCTCTCTCTCTCTCTCTCTCTCTCTCAGAGCTGTGTGTGCGCTCAAGCTACGCAAAACGATGTCGTCAGCACGTCGGGATATTTTTTTTCGGTCCCCTCTAAAATAAAGAAATATTACTTTAACAGGTGTGTGTTCGGGATAATAACGCTGTGGGAGGATAACGCCGAACGCGGGTGTTGGAGTTCATATGTATAATTAGGGGCAAAATGTTCAAATGTCACGTATCGTATCTATGTAACTCATATAACTAAATATTGAAATAATATATATAAAAAAAATAATTATTGAGATAAGTCTTAATAATAATAATAATAATAATAATATGATAAACAAATGTAAATACATTCAATTACATCACTTACAGGTACATTTCCATACAAAATACACTTTTTAAATTAATAAAACCTCAAATTCGAATACAGGCAGTGCTGGAGCATTTTTGAACATGACCTCTTCACTGAACCTGTACAGAGTGAATTAATCCTTTTTGGTGAACGAACTCAAAAGATTCGATTCGCTGGGGTGAATTAAAATCATCACTGCCGAATGTTCATCGTGGTGACAGAACGAGCTGCCGCCTGCTGGTGTGACAGATACACCAAGCCACATTTTCACTTTAAAAGGGTCATGAACTGCTTTTTTTGGCTTCAATATAAGCTGTTAGACTAACGAAAAAGTTTTGAGTTCTGAAATGTACAGGATGTTTTTATAGTACTCAGTTGATTTCTCAGTTCATGACCTCTTTAAGTCATGTAAATATAGCCATTTCAAATACTATTCAGCAAACAACTGCTTAAAGATTTTGAGTTATTTTTATTGAGTTCAAGTTTACTTAGTTTTTTCAAACAGCAGAAAAATTCATTTAAATCAAAGACAATTCAAACAGAATCTGACAGTCTGAATTCATTTAAAAGACTGGACCTTCCATCACTGAATGTATAAGCAAAAACATTCTATTATCATTAATCTTTCAAAAGAATTCTGATATAAAAATACTTGTATGGTCTTAATTGTGACTTTTACAAACACTTGCAGTGCACATGTGCACAGAACAAGCAAAATATACAAAACACATCCCCACTATGTGGCTGCACAAGCTGTTTTGGGCTATATAAATAGCCAGATACTGCTTATTTATTCCAAGACACCTGTCCGGCATCACGATACCCATAAATGCCATGAATTAAATGTGTCTTACCTGCCATTGCAGCGCTGACGGCGACTGTTGTGATGAGGAAAGCCTCGGTGAGTAGCGAGGCCCACGGTGGGCTCAGTGATCGCATCCTTAAGAACAGTACAACGGCCCGGGGGATCCGGGGTTTATCATTCCCCCGTCCCACAGTGGTGAAAAACCTTTGACTGTAATCTCTGTGTAGTGACACTCAAGTGTGAAGTCGGTAAGATGTGTTCACGGTGCGCGGGATCATTCAGTGCTGCGCGATCTCTCTCTCTCTCTCTCTCTCTCTCTCTCTCTCTCTCTC